CTTGTGAAAAAAATTGTTATACAAATTTTATGTACCCCCTTCAAGGGGTTGTATCTTAACAAGGGATGCTCCAATGAAATTTCTTTATATGAAAGATCCTACCTTTTTTTCGATGAGGAATCACCTCCTTAAATGTTTTACACTTATTTAGTTACACCCAGTATTTATATCAGATACCTTTAGGGTAACATTAAACGTGGTAACAAAAGCTCACCGTTTGAGTATAATTAAATATTATTTTATTGAGAACTAGGGACTAGGTACATATTTACACCTCAAATAAAATTCTGCATGTATTATTAGTAATCTCTCCACATGTTTTTCTATTGAAAACGTTTCAATTTACCACACAAATTTAGAAAATCATCCGTTATATAACAATTACGGATTGCGTTTAAGCGCACCTAATCGATTTTTCATACAAATTTCCTAATTTCCAACTAAACGAATTAAGAAAACTTTGACTGTCAAATAGAGTATAAATTAGTTAAGTGCATTGCATCGTTAGCGTTTCCCGAGAGTTTTATTACTCATTCGGTATTCCGAACAAAGAAATAAACCACTTTCCAATACGCGATTCTCAAGGCGAATGAGTTCGTTATTATATTAGCACCATAAATTTATATATGAGTCAGGAAGTTACAAAATGTTATGTTTGTTTTGTATTGTTATTGCATTGAAGGGTGAATCTAAAAACTGAAAAATTGATAGTTATCACTAGAGTTTTCCCCTGAATAATCACGTACTTCACAATTCGAAGACTACATAAGTAGTGAAAATCACTACATAGTATGGAACAAAGCCGCTTCCCACTGTCTGTCCCTATACAGGGTGTCCCTGGACTTCCTCTTTTCCTCTCGGGAATGTATAGATGGGGTCAAAATATCACCAGTACTTCATATAACTTTTTTTCCTAAAAGTCTTCGTAACCAAGTTACGGGTCCTCGAAGTTACAAAATGAAAAATGTTTTTCTTTGATAACTTTTCAAGTGAATATTCAAAATCATCCAAATTTTGGTAATT